AGGTACGATACGAGTCCAGCAGCGTCAGGCGGTGAAGTAGGCTATTGTTAGTTTAAACTATAGCCTTTCAAATGTTCTTTATTTTACTTTTCATGCAAGATTGTTTTCCTCTCCTTTAAAAATGTTTTTCTAAAAATAAAACTCAACATAAATGTTTTAAGATTGGATTTGCGGGGCAAACAGTTTAATTTTCACCATATGTTGCCACAGCAGTTTGTAAATTTTAAAAAAAATCTTTCCACTAAAACCACCACCAAAAAAAAAATCTAATATAAAAAATGTATTCTTCCCAAAGCGTCTCCCTCCTGTGGGCTATTTTACAGCTCCCAAATAAATCTTTAAGGTTGCAAGGAAGGGGAAAAAACAAAAGTACCCTGATGACAGAAAAGCAAATCCTGCCATGATAATGTCCTTTATTAATATTATAGATGTGTAGTGTGCTGGATGGATCAATCATATCCATTCACAATCAGGATTAAGAGAGCCTATTTTAATGAAAATCTATTAGTCTCTCGCTTGAGACACGGATGCTGCTTAAATCAATAAACAGCATAAAAGAGAATACGACGCAGGTTTCTAAATTAAAAAAAAATCCCATCTATGAAATGTGTTAAGACGTCTGTAAAATCCTGAAACCCTCGATCGATACTTATAAATATTTAATTTTTTTTAACACAAATTGAAAACCATTAACACTGCATCCATTCTTATTATTAAAACAAATTGTCCTTGGAATTATGTGCTGTGGAAATGGAGCCAGATTGAAAGGGCATCCTCTGAAATATGTTTACTCGCTTTCATGTAAACCAATAAAGATCTGCAGGAGTCTGTAGCGTGAGCAGAAAGGTTTGATGTACAATGTCCATGATTACAGTCCCTGAATTAATCACGAGAGAGAGAGAGAAGGAGGGAGCGAGATGGAGATAGAGAGGGCTCAGTTATCTACTCAACAAAATCTTGCTCGCCGGGTCAGCGCTTATTAAAACGTGGATTAAACCGATTATTTTTCTGCTTGCTTATTTGGCCCATTCCGACCAAAATAAGCTGAAGGGGGGAGAGTGGGAGGAAATCAGTTTCGTCCTACGTCATACCACGAGTAAATGTACAAACGTAAATTCCTCCTTTAAATATGAAATTCAATACTTTGCCTCGGAAATGCTTAAAGCTAATGCAACGTTTAAACTCATTCATGATTATTCCTCTCGTTTAACTCGAAGAAAAACCACTATCGTCAAGGGCTTCTTTTGGAAGAGGAATTAAAAAATGACACATGGATTGATACCACGCTAAATCTCCTCTCTCTGCAGCCCAAGATCCGCACTCTCCGCTGCCAGGCTGCCCGCCCTGCTCGCAGATGCCCCCTCTCGCTTTGGGGAGGGGGCACCGGGGGCGGGCTCGGCTCCGTGGGGAGCAATCAGCCCCGATGGGGCGGCGGTGGGCAAGGGAAGAGGGGCAGAATAAACGGGCCACCCCTTTTGTCCACTTAGGACCCCCTGACGGGCAGAGGGCTCCTGTCCTGCCCCGGGGCAGTAGGGAGGGAGGAGGAGGAGGAGGATTTGGGGGCATGGTGCCCTCAGGTGGGCCGGGCAGTCGGGACAGCCCTCAATGTGCCGCTGACGGCCGGTCCTGCAAGGGGGGATCGGGGACAGCGGGGTGGCTTGTGACACCGCACAGAGGTACCCAGGCTGCCGCGGGGAGCCGGGGGCAGAGGGAAGTTCCGAGGAGCGCTGGTGACTTTTTAGGTTTGCGACAGGGTCCCAGGAGTTCCGTTCCTGCAAGAGAATGGTATTTGGGCGGTAGTTCCTCTCTCTCTCTCTCCTTCTCTTTCTCCCTCCCTGCATCCCTCCTCCCCAGCCCGTTTATCAGGAGCAGCAATAAAGGTAATTCCTCTCTGAACCCTCCGTCAAAGTTTGTAGTGAGGACAAAATTGCCCCCCAGTTTTGTTCCCACCTGCACCACCTTGCCCTAAGTCCCCCCAAAGCCGCGGACTGCGCAGAGAGGGGGGCCCGGGGGCGCTCCCCGCCTCCCGCCGCTCCCTGCCGCGCCGCTGGGCCGGGCCGGGCCCGGCATTCCCCGCAGAGCTCCGCGCCGCTCACCGGGCCGTGCGCGCCCTCGGGGATGCCCGCGGTTCCGCGCCCCCGCCGCCCGCTCCGCCAGGGTCCGCACGGCGGGGTGGCAGCCGGGTCCCCGGAGAGTTGAGCTTTGCACTGGTCCTGTTTTGTTTGTTTGTTTTTATTTTTTTTCCCGGCTTTCTCCCTTTCCCTTTCCGGTGCTTTGTTTCGCTTTTCTCTTTCGGAGCGAGTCTGAGGCAAGTTCCCCGGGGCTGCGAGGCTCCCCCGGGTCCTCCCCGCTGCCGTCGAGGCCGCCCGGTGGCGGCGCCCGGTGCCGAGCTGTGCCCCGCGCCTGCGGGAAGCGGGGACAGCCACCTTCCCACCCCACCGGGCGCTGCTGGGAAGCAGGGAGGGAGGGACGTGGAACAGGCAGGAGAGTTTATTCCCCCCTCCATCTGAGGAGGGGATTTGCCCCTGTCCTGGGGGCAGGAGCCCGGCGGAGGCAGGAGGCGCCGGGGGCTCCGGGAGGAGCGCGGCCGCGCTGGCGGGGCTGCAGGCGTGGGGCTGGGCGCAGGGGGGAGCTGCGGGCAGCAGAGCGGGACGGGGGCGACAGGGAGGAAAGGGGGATCCGGCGGACTCGGTGCAAACTCCGGCAGCCCGGGGAAGCCGACGCCTCTCCAGCGCTGGGGACGCGGAGTCAGTAAACATTTATCCTTGATTGCTGCTTGCTGCGAGGGAGGCAGAGGGAGCCCGGGCACGGCGGGGATCGGTGCCGCTCGAGCCGAGGGATGGGGAAAGTCCCGGCCCCGGCACCGAGCCTCTCCCACGGGGAGTGAGCGCCGGTGCCCCCGCGTGTCCGTGACACCCTCGCAGCACGCACCAGCCCGCACGACAATCCTCCACGAGCCCTTACACGCGCAGAGAGAGGCACAAGCGGCGTGTCGTGCCGGGATCTTTCCTCAGCCATACGTTACTTCCCCGTCTATCGTTTGCCTTTATTATTTATGTGGTGCCGTGTGATATACATTAGAGCCTCGGATTTGATTGGCGTTTGCGATGACAAGACCTGTTTGTTAAGTTGTAAGGCTTCCTCCGCTCCCTCACTTGTTAAACGAACTCTGGAGGAAGGATGCCACCGAGACACGACAATATAATAAATGTCAGGGATATCCGCAGTGCCGAGATCAAATGATCAATCCTTGTCCGCTAGATAATCATTTTAAATTCGCACAGGGGGAGATTGATTTTTTTTTAAGCCCTTTATTAATTGCTTCCTCGATTATTATTTTTCCCCCTCCTCCTGTGGAAGTGTTAACTCTGGTGCTGGGGGCACCTTTGGATTAATTAAACGTATTTTTAGCGTTTTAATGTTCTGCTAATTTTCAGAACAGTCCCACACTCCCCCGGAAAAGAAACAATGGCCCCTTGCTCCAACAAGGAGCCTGCTTTGGTTGCGATTCAGAGCAGAGGGTGGCGTGATGATGAGCTCTGATTATCTCAAACTCGAGGAGGGGGAACGAGAAGGACGTAAAAAGCCAAACGACCAGAAGACAAAATTCCTCCAAATACCGAATAACCCTTCGCGTTAAAGCCCGAGGAGAAGAGACAGAAATAAATAGCTGGGAAGTCGGCTCCGCACGGGGATCAAACGGTGCGGAGAGGCGCTGGAAATGCCGGCGCTGTTATCTGGAGACGAATTTCAGGCAGCTATTCAAGCGCACAGAATGATAATTATTCCAGGAGTACAACAAAAATAACTGCAGCCTACCAAGATCAAGGTGGGGAAATTATTGCGAGTTCTATATTAAATCCGGCAGGGTATGTTTCGTTGGGTCAAAAAAAAAAAAAAAAAGGTTTAATGCTCTATTTGTCGTGTACACACTCCCGTGTTAACAAATTATCCCTCTGCTGCATGCAGCAGGATAGCTCGATATCCAGAGAAACATTTTAGATTTTAATTTCCCCCTACAGTACCTTCAGACAACGTAGTAACAATAAACAAGAAGACAGATCCTGCAACGTTCACATACATCTGGAGCGACTCCCTACCTACGGATACCCCACAGCCAAACAACCCACCCCACATCCTCCGAACACACCGACACGGAGCTCCGAGGCACCTCGCAACTTGTTTAGCTGCAGCACACGTCCCCCTCCGTGCACCCACCCACCCACCGCCAGCCAGAACAGGCAACACTTTTAAAACAGCATGTTTGTTTCGCCGATTATTTTCACCGTTTACTTAAAAGAAATTAGCTAAATAGCAAATCAGGTAGAATTTCCAATGATTACCAAAAAATGCTCATCTCCGGCTTTTTATTCATTACCTTTTTATTGAACACTCATTTTCCTTTCCTCTTGACAGCGATACATTTAATTGCAGGAGCTCAGTTATTTGGTTAGCTGTGGGTCCGTTTTTACTCACAGTGTTGCCACGCACAGGATGTCCTTAAAATCAATTAAGTCTTCCTCGACTCTCATTTCTGCAACCCATTTACAGAATGTAGATACCTATTTTCATGTTTTCCTCTTCCCCCCTCCCTCCCTTTTATTCCTCTCCCTCTCTCCCTCTCTCTCTCTCTCCGTCTCCCTCTCCCCCCCTCTTTTTCGCCGTTGCCTCTTTGCCTCCCTAAATCAAGGTGCAAAGATGCCAAAGAGTGATGAAATGAAAAGAAAGCCAATTGCTGGACTGAGGTGGGGGAGATAGCTGCTCGGAGTCCGCCTGCGACTATGGAGCAGTCAGTAATTGCTGGAGACAGGGAGAGCTGGGGGTTGGGCTGAGGTAGCCATGTATAAATAGTGTGATCTCAAATTGAAAGGCATAAATAACAGCAGGAGTGATCTAACCCTATACAGCCCATCTTCTACGTGCAAAAACAGCGTGCGGAGGACGGCCACATCTCCGATTGAAAACAAGTGGATCTCTGTGGATAAGATCACCGGGCAGCCATGGAAGAACTTACGGCTTTTGTATCCAAATCTTTTGACCAGAAAAGCAAAGAGAGCAGCAGCGGCAGTGGCAGCGGCAACAAAAAGGAGACCATCACGTACAGGGAAGTTTTGGAGAGTGGGTTGGCTCGCTCTAGGGAGCTTGGAAACTCTGATTCTAACCTGCAGGACATGACCGAGAGCAGCAACCATTGCCCGGTGCATCTTTTCAAAGACCACGTAGAGAGCGACAAGGACAAACTGAAGGAGTTCAACACGGGCAGGACAGCGGAAGGTAAGAGCAGGGCTGGGAGCCCTTCGCCCCGCGCTTCTCGCCGGCAGCCCCGGTCCCCTCGGCGGCCGCCCCTGGCTCTCCGCGGCGGGGGCGGCTCGGCCACCGCGGCCCCGGTGCGGCCCCGGTGCGGCCCCGGCGGAGCGGGCGGGATCGCCTCCCGCATCCCGCATCCCGCTTCCCTGCGGCGGCCGCCTCCCTCCCTGCCTGCCTGCCTGCCTCCCGCGGCGGCGGGAACACAGGCTTAGGAACGCGTACTCCTGCATGCATAACGTGAGCGTAGCCGCGAAAAACAAGTCACAACTTCGGCGCTGCCCCCCCGCCAGCCCCCGTTCACATCCGAAATCGATCCGGTGCGTTAGGCGTTCTCTCGCCCGGGGGAAGGGAGCAGCGCAGCACGTCAGACGTTTTTGTCTCTATCTGTGTATTTTTGTACGAGGAAACCTCGTCCGGGGAGTTTTAATGCCTTGGGAGACCTGTTCTTCCTGCTTCCGGGCCGTCAGGATGCTGCTGCTGTTCTGGGAGAACGCGGGAGGCGGAGAGGGCTCTCTCTGGACATTTTGTCTCGGGTCGGTCAGCCTGTCCCTGCTCGGAGGCTCCGAGCGGCGGGGACGAGAAGCAGGAGAGGAGCCTGGCTGTGGGCAGCGGCCCGGAGCCGCTGAGACAGAACCTCGCTGCGGCCAGAGGCACCGGCCGACACTGGTGCCTCGGTCCCCTGCCGGCCCTCTCACCTGGGCCAGGGCAGCACGGCACCCCGCCGACCCCATCCCTTCTCTAAGCAACAACAACGACAACGGCAATTCAAAAAAATTATTTTTTTTTAAACCAAGACAACTAAAAATCCCGCACAGGCTGACAGGGGAAGGGGAGAATTAGAAGGACGGGGGGATTAGAAAGTTGAGAAAGTGTCTCTAGGCAAGTTAGACAGGTGGACCTGCCTGGGGAGCTACTGGCTAGCTTAGGGTAATAAAAACCGGTTAATAGGTTGGGGAACAACAAGCAGCCTTTCAGCTGTTTCCTATTGTTCGATCTTGTTTAATATAACACTGGGAGATTTAATTTACTGCCCAAACTTTTATTTAATATCCTTCTCTTTTCTACCTGCTCCCCAAACAGAAGAACGAGGTATAATCCCGTATTCGGGTACCCATACTTCTGCACAAGCCAGTACCACTCAGCTCTGCTTATTTTCCTTCTCTGATCGAGAGATTGAAAAACGAGAAGATTCAGTTTAAGGGAATCATTCGATGCAGGAGATGATTTTTTTAAAAAAATGAAAGCAGGACATGCTTTAGAAATTAAAAATAGAACGAGAAGGAACGAAAAAAACCCCTCTACTACTCTGCCTTTTTCCCCATGAATCGAAATTCTGGCTTGTATGTTTAGCTAATCTAATCTACGGAGAGGGGCTGGGGGTGGGGATGGAAGGGAGGAGTTGGAAAGAGCTGAGATGCTTGTGACAGTTTAAATTCATGCCAGGTTTCAGTCTAATTTCAACTGATTCCGGCGTGTGATTTCAGTCCCACCGATATGCTAGTTAATATTTTATACCTATCACGGACATGCTGTAGCCTCGGAAAAGAGACAGCTTTTGAACGCGCCTGATTTTCCCTAGGCATTTGCTGGGTTAGCACCCTCGTCTTTTCATAGGGATTCCCTTTACAGGAGAAATGAGACCAAAACGCCATTAAAACCAACCAGCGATTTTCCCCATCCGGAGGCCAGACCCTTCCCAAAGTTTTATGTAGCCAGTATCAGCCCGGAGCCCGGGGGAACGATCACGGCCAGGGACAGTTTTGATTTTGGAAGTGAAAACGAATGCCTCGGCTTGGGTCCGGCCTGACTTAAGCCTAGATGCAGTCCAGGACACTTTATTACGTTTAATTAACTTACAGTTTATAATTTGCATTTTGGGATGCTCCTAAATATATAGGTTAATATATGTTCATGAGCACATTTCTCTGTGTGAGTATACATATACGTAAATACGTATATAATACCTGTGCACTTGGTGAGGAAAAAGGGAATTATTTCGGGATCATCCGCAGACGCGACTCCCCGAAATCCACACCACGCAGAAGGGGGGGCACGACAAAGGAGGCACTCGGGGCGGGCTCGTCCCGGGACCCCGCTGGATGCGCACCCGGCGGGCGCCCCAGGCAGGCAGGGGATCCCGGGGAACCGGTTCCGCCTAAAGTGCTGTCCCTCGCTCCAGCATCCCTTCCTCTTTCCTTAGCTGGATTTGAAAGAAGGACAGTGCCTTAGGCCTCCTGGCATTAAGGAAAAGGGGGAAAAATTATAATAATAAAAGCGTAGGAAATAACATGCCAAAGCAAAAGAAATCTCCCTACCCAAGACAGAAAAGAGGAACTGTTTTACCGCTGCCCCCACAGCCTCCCTAGGCCCGGGACAAGCGTTCTCAGCGGTTGCCTCTGGTCGCAGAGCCCTGCTGGAGTCCCTGTAGGTTGTGAGGGTTCCTGCTGTTCCGGAGGGGCTGGGGTGACCCATGGCCCCGGAGCCCGCTGTCCCACACAGGGACCGCCTCCCCCGGGGTTTCGAGCCGCGGGCAGGTATTTTGGGGGAAAGAGGGGTATAAAGGAGGAGAGAGACGGGCGGTCTCTGTCTCAAGCTCAGGGAAAGTTTCTTTTACGACACAAATACTATCATCGAGGCTTCACCATGACCGTGGTAGGGAGCTTCTTGCACAACCCTCTTTGGGAGAAAACGTCGCCGGAGAAACCCCCTTCCCCCACCTCTTCCCATGCCTGGAGGTATCGGGGGGCCGGCAGTTTTCCTACCACCTCTTCCCCGAACTGCCCGTACCCGCGGCTTCCTCCTAACCCTGGAAAGAAAATAAAAGTATATGTATCTGTACACTTTTCCTGACAGGGCAGCAGACCGGCAAGGCAGCGCGGCTCCCTGCCTCCCCCGGCCCTGGGGCGAGCTGCCCCCGGCCCGGCGCGGAGCCCGCAGCTCAGCTCAGCCCCTCTCGCCCTCCAGGTCCTGCCCGGGGACCTCCGGCCCCCTCCGCCAGCTGCTCCCGCAAGTTGCGCTGAGTTTGGGGACGAGGAGGGGAGGAGGGAGACCCCTGTGCGGGAGAATTTGGAAGAGGTGCGAGGGGAGGCTCAGCGTCGTTTTCTTCTTCCCCCTCCCGGCAGGGATATATGAATGCAAAGAGAAGAGGGAAGATGTGAAGTCAGAAGATGAAGACGGACAGACCAAGCTTAAACAAAGGAGAAGCAGAACCAATTTCACACTAGAGCAGCTGAACGAGCTGGAAAGACTTTTTGATGAGACTCACTATCCGGATGCCTTCATGAGGGAGGAACTAAGCCAGAGGCTGGGACTATCTGAAGCTAGGGTTCAGGTAAGAGAAAGGCTCTGTTCCTGGAAGCGTGCTCACCTCCCTTCCCAACTGCCAGCGGATCCTAGCACAGTGCCCCGTTTCATGCACAACGGGGAGGTGAAGGCAGAGGTGACACGTGTGATGGGAAAGCTGTTTGCAAGTCTGCTGTACCTGTCCTGCCCAACAGTTATTCTGCTCTGGGAATATCTGCCCGTGTCTAGCGTTTCCCAGGAAGGTGGTTTAAATTTTTTTTTTTTTTTTGGTATGTGTATGAGGTAGGGTGGTTGGGTGGTGATAGTGTTGACAAGTCTCTAATAACTGCCTTTTTTTTTTTTTTTTTTAATTTCTTTTTCCCTCCTTGCAAACGTGCCATTTACTCCCCCTTAATCCTTATTTTCTTCCCGCTTTTTCTATTATGGGGCCATTATGGGGGGAAAAAAAGAAAAAGGCCAGAAAACAATCGCCTGAATAAGGCTAGACAGTTTGGGTGCTGAGGGACAGGATTAGCCAGAGCCGGGGGAAAGGTGCCGGCTCTGATTCGCACAGCAAGCGTATGAATGCATGCCACCCCATCTGGTGGAGGTTCCCCCCGTCCCTCCCATCCCACTTCAGAGACAGCTAAATGCCAATTAGACTTCGAAATCTTGAAAATAGATCCGGGTTGCTGTAGTCCTGGGGCCACCAGAGCTGTCTGTTTGGGTGGCTCCACATCGATTATTCTAAAATTTGATTTTCAGTTTGATGCAGAGGAAAAATACTCCCTCTTCCCACAAGCCAACTAGGGAATGCTCCCACAAAACAGATGTCATATTAAAAGAAACAAAACCCCTCAACCAAACAAAAACCCCCAACACAGAAATAATTTACAAAAATCTACCTAGAAAAAATAAGATCAACCTGTGGCTCTCTGAGCAGGCCCAGAGCAGGAGAAACCTGAAGGAAATCTCTTCTTGGATTAAAATTCTGTACTTGGCCTAACAGACACAAACCAAACTAAAACTCTAGAAGAAAAAGCCACCAAGGCAACCCCTCCAGTGAACAAAACGCCCTGACACCTTGGAGATAAGAGATGCCCATGTGTATGTATACCTGCCCGTAGGAGTGTGCGGGTAGCTACACACGGGCAGGGTATGGCTCAGTGGGCACAGACGGAGGCTCCATGCCCTGACCTCACTCCTGGGGCACAGCGGGAATGGGGAAACACGGCCCCGAGCTGGAGCGGGGAGAGGGCTCTGTTGGAGCCCCTCCTTAAGCGCGGAAGGCAAGCTGACAGCACACTGCTCAGCCAGCATTTGCCTGAGCAAGCCACTACCTCGCTTTAGACAACTGTCTCCTGGAGGCAAATTCTGAAATAAATGGAGTACCTAAGTTGCTTTCGTTCCCTTTTTCTTTTTTTTATTTTTTGTCTTCTTTCAAGGCTTTAAGGTTTTATTCTCTCCTGAGCTCCTCTGAGTCTCAGTACAAACTGAGCAGGGCAAGGGATGGTGCCGGGCACACGCCTTAGGAATGGCATCTTGCAGGGAATATTGCAGGGGTTCAGAGTGCAGCTGGCCTACTTTCTCCTGGAAGATTGATCTAACCACACCATATAAATTAATGAAAAGATTAAACTTTTGCTGAAGGGGACATCAACTCTTATGTCATCTTCCCAGATCTTCTTACTTGGGCTCTGTAATATCTTTCCAAGGCCTTGATGTACTGTTTCTATAAAAATAAATTACTTGTAATTGAATTCTGCACTCTTTCTTTCAAGTACTTTATTACTGAGGAGCACCTTAACAGGATGTTCATAGTTACAGGAAAATTGGTGCTTCAAGTGCTTACAGATCTCAAAACAGCACACACATACAGAATAAAAAAAAAAGCCCCCCCCAAAATCAGGAGGAGATTATGACTGATGTTAAAAAAAAAGTATTTATTATTTTTATAAAAGAGGTTTGTGTGGATTAAAAAAATCCTTATACATAAAATAGGTATAAAGAGGAAAAAGAGGGAAAATGGATAATTAATTAGGAAATAAGCACAGACCTAATATTCATCAATAAGTAGAAGCAGAAAAAAAACAAAAAAGGAAAAGGCAGAAAAGGGAAAGGTTTGTCTTTTGGTTTTTTTTTTCCCCTAATACTTTCAGAATTGTTCTCTAATTCCTATCTGAACCTCTTGTCCCTTGCTGTTAAAGGATATAGTTTCAATTTAGCGTGGAAATTTGCTGTAAATAAATTGAAGCTCCTATGGTAGCTAGTCCTTATTAACCTTTTATTTTTAGTGTTGTACTGGAAACTCATATCACCCAGCTGTCAGGGTTATAATTGAAAGTTATGAGACCATAGTGAGGAGCAGGCAGTAATTCAATTACAACAAATATCTTTGGGTTTATGGTGCAGGGCTAAATTAAATGTCATTATTCACTGTCTCTAATGGAAATCAAAAGGAAATCAGATTAGAGCATTTGTGAAAGAAATCACTGAGTGATCCTTAATGAAGAAATAACTGTCTAAAACAGTGTACTGTGCTTTACTTAGCATATTCATGACTAATTGGAATTGATCGTGAATCACACCAAGCCTGATTTATTATCGCTTAATGCAGTGGCTAATTCATCACTTTTATTCCTCATAACCTTATTTTTTCGTAGCTAAAGGGAAAGGCCACTTCGTTTTCCAGATTTAAATATAATTTCGGTTTGAAAGATGTTCTGATTTGCAAGAGAAGTTGTTTAAACGCTGCTTAAATTTCTTCTGACAATTTACACTGCTCTGTCGAGGCGGGGGGGGGGGAGGGGGGGGAGGCATGGGGAATATATACGAGGAGATCTCCTGCAAGGATTTACCACAGTAAAAAAAGATGTATTATTGTCGCTACGGCTCGATAATATTTTGCATGCTCATATTTAAATACATCTGTACATGTGTATAAATCCCTAACGGTCCACTAAAAAGGAGAAGCGATGCATGCTGCTAATATTTGCGTGCTGCTGGTAGGGAAAAATAGGCTTGTGCTTGTGCCGCGCTGTGCTGCGCAGGGCAGCGGGGCGGCAGCGATGCCCGCTTAGCACGGGGAGGGCTGAGCCGGCGGCAGCCGCCAGGGACAGGAACCAGCACTGGTGGGTGGGTGGGTATGTCTGTCTGTCTGTCTATCTGTCCGTCCGTCCGTCGGTCTGTCCGCACCCGCTGCGCTCCGCAGCCGCCCGCTGCGCGCTTCCCCCGCAGACACCCCGGGCAGGAGAAATGGTGCGCTAAATCAGAGAAGGCCAATTCCTACTTAAGAAAATCACTGAGGTACCCGAGGTAATTAATGCCTTCGGAAGCCTTTCTTTGCACTAATTACTCCGTTGTAAATGACCATCATTAAGGCAATTGAAGAAAGCTTGAAGGGAAAATTTGATGTAGGAAGTGCAGTTAGTATTAATTAACCGTATGATCTCTTGGCAAGTGCAAGAACATCAAAGGTTGTAGGTGTTTACTTAGCCACAAGATTTTATCAGCGGTGAAAGTCAATGTTTGTCCATATTCGGTAGGTTTTGGCGTAAAGATAAGGATCCGCAAAATATTTTGGCCCGCGTTTCTGATGATGTTTTGGGGCGAGATGTTAATCGAGCACGGCAGAAGGGGAAAAGTAATGAAAGTCTGAAATGCCCCTGGAAAAGAGGCACGGGAAGCGCAGTGGCAACTGCAAAGTTCTTCGATTGTTTGAGTGAGAACGGCTGGAATTGGGGAAGCATTATCGGATTACAGGCGTTCCTCGGGTAGGGGCATGAGCACTTCTTTACATCCCTGCCTGCAAAAGATGCTGCTCTTGTCTGGCCTGAGGTCTACGGAAGCGGATTTTGTTTTCTTTAACATTTATGGAACGGGGAATGATTCAGACCCTTTCGCGAAAGTTGAGTGTCTCGCATCTTGTCATAGATCATCGATTTTAAGCCCAGCTCGGGAGGGGGCAGGAGCTCCAGTCTCTTGGGGGCCAGATCCCGGAGTCTGACCTGGCCCACGCTGGCTCTTCCCGGGCTGCTTAAAATGACTGGGAAGGGTACGAGGGTCCCCTCCGTCCTGCGGGTGATCTTACTGTAAGTGTCGCTCCAGACGGGTGGCAGAAAGACTGTCACTGCCTGCCCAGGGGACACGGGGCGCTCCGGGACCGGTGCTGAGCGGTAGGCTCCCGGTCTGTCCCTCTGCGAGAGCGCTTCCCAACTCCTGGGTTCAACTGAGGGACCGCAACAAGGAGCAGGAGCTCCCCCCGAACAGCCCCTCAGCAGCACAGAGAGGGGCTCACTCCGCCTGGGGCCGAGCTCATCCCCTCCACTGCTCCCGAGGGGAGACCGCAGCAAAGCTGTGCAGTCACTGTCCTCACCCCTCCATCCCCAGCTCCTGAGATAAAGCTCCCTCAGCAGCTGCCTGGGCCACCTCCATTTTTTTGTTGTTGTTTTGTTTTTGTTTGCTTTTTCTTTTCACAGGTCTGGTTCCAGAACAGGAGAGCAAAGTGCCGAAAGCAGGAAAACCAGATGCACAAAGGTGGGTTAGGGGTGCGGACCGGCCGGGGGCTGGCGGCCTCGGAGCCCCGGGCGCCTTCGCCACTCACCCGGCCCTGTGTCTCTCCGCAGGTGTGATCCTGGGAACCGCCAGCCATTTAGACGCCTGCAGAGTAGCCCCCTATGTGAATATGGGAGCCCTGAGGATGCCTTTCCAACAGGTAGTTAGCTCCGGTTTTATTTTACTTTCCCCCAGTAAGCTCCGACCCCCATTCGTTTGCACGGGAGGAAGCCGGACACGTTTACAAGTGCCATTTATATAGAAGTTGGCACGTATTAAAAACAGGCTGTAAAACTTCGCGAAGGAGCCCCCGCCCGGCTTTCGGGAGCTCAGCGCTTCTCGGGACGGAGCGGGGGGTCCTGCGGCCCGGGAGGCGCCGGCAGGGCTCAGGGCCCTCGGCCGCCGTGCCATGGGCTGGCACGGGGCCCCGGGGCCGCCCGCGGACCCGACCGGCCTCCCGGGGCCGCCCGCGGGCCCGACCGGCCTCCCGGGGCCGCCCGCGGGCCCGACCGGCCTCCCGGGGCCGCAGCGCCTTCCCAGGGCAGGCGGGCCCGGCAGCGCCCGAACGAGCCCGCTCGCCCTCTGCGGGCCGGCCCTGCTCGGTCCGAGCAGCCCGGGGGGCTTTGGGCTCCTCCTGGCCCGGAGAGCGCGGCGGGGGCGGCTCCTCGGCCCGCTGGGCCAAACCAGGAGGGGGAAACACTCTGCGGACCCTTGCGGGGTAGTTGCCCTCCTCATTCCCGGGCGGGCTGTTGAGTCCTGTCCTTTTCCGATGATGTGACCACCCCGGAGGTGGGGAGCCTGCTCCCAAATGCTCTGCCACCCTGATGGCCAGCCAGGACAGGAGCAGTGGCGACAGGAGCGCAGACTCCGACGCCACTGCGGGGCCCGGGTCCGTGCCCAGCGAGGCGCAGCCACCCGGGGAAAGCCTCTGGGGAAAACCAGGACGAGGGCGATGAAATTCCATTCCCGCTTCCAGCCGGTTGTAACTCTCCCTCCATCGGTATTTTCTTTTTCTTTCATTTTTTTTTTCTTTCTTTTTTTTTTTTTTTTTTCTTTTTGTCAATTAATCGGGGAATTGATTTTTTTCCAGACCAAAGGGACCCTCCACCACCTTCTCCATCTCGGAGACACGTGGAGCTGACAGATTAATTGTATTGATTTTTAAAAGACATATTTGGACCAAAATAATTAAATACATAAATAAACTCTCCCCCACTCCTCCCCGAACCTACCCGAAGCTGAAATCTCTCAGTCAACCCAATGTGTTTGTGTAGATCTAGAAAGCTCCAAAGCAAACACTAGCCGGGTATAGCAAGGGACCTACGGCCAAAGAGTTTTTAGCAAGGTATAAATAAACATCCCTGGAAGAAAAAAAAAATGAAAAGAGGAAAAAGAAAAAAATTAGCTATTTAGCACTTGTTGGCGCCCGTGCGTTGGGCCGCATTTATTTATTTATTTATTTATTTATTTATTTATTTATTTACTTGAAACCACCAGGAGGAGGGTTAAGCGGGTCTCTGTGCCCTCACTGAGCAAGGAGTGGAGGTTTGCCGCCCTGATTGCGGGGGAGACTCGGCTCACAAGCTGGTGTTTCCACGCGCCGGGCTGCCCTGCCGGGCAGGGTCGGGGCTGGGGACGCGTGTCCCGGGGGTCTGTCTGTCCGTGTGTCCCTGGCTCGGGCTGACGCCGTGTCTCTGCCCCGCCGCCCAGGTCCAGGCGCAGCTGCAGCTGGAGGGCGTGGCCCACGCGCACCCGCACCTGCACCCGCACCTGGCGGCCCACGCGCCCTACCTGATGTTCCCGCCGCCGCCCTTCGGGCTGCCCATCGCCTCGCTGGCGGAGTCCGCCTCCGCCGCCGCCGTGGTGGCCGCCGCCGCCAAGAGCAACAGCAAGAACTCCAGCATCGCCGACCTGCGGCTGAAGGCCCGCAAGCACGCCGAGGCCCTGGGGCTCTGACACGCTTGCCCCGAGCCCCCCCTCACACCCCGCCCCGGGTGCCCGCGGCGGGCGGGCGTGTGACCCGCACGGACCGCCGCTCTGCCCCTCCGCTCCTCCTCATCCTCCTCCTCCCTGGCTGCGGGGCGAGCAGCGAGCGCTCCGGCCGCCCTGCCGCCTTATCTCTTTTTTGGTTTATTTTATTTTTGTGTTTCGTTTTTATTTCTTTCCCCTTCCCCGAGGTGTGCGAGCGCCGCTCTGCTGGCCCGGCCGGCCCCAGGGACTCGGCGGCCGCAGGAGCCGCGTGGCGCGGCGGGGACGCTCCGCCCGCCGCGGGGCCCCGGACACAACACACGCCAGCAGCAAACGCGCGCCCGCCGTTCAGAGACTCCTCGGAGGACAAAGTAGGTGGGAGGAGAGAGAAAAGAGAGTTAAAAAAAAAAATCACAAAAAGAGAAAAAAAAAAAAAAAAGGAAACTATCTCTAAATTATGTTAATCTGTGAACATTGGGGACATTTTGGATTTTTGACCCTGGCAAAAGTGATCGCTCCGGCATAACGTCATCTGCTGCTGTCAGTTTTGCTACCTTGTGCATGTGTCAAACTAAACACGTTTTGATGATCAGAAATATATTAGAACAAAACTAAACAAAACAAATAGTAATAATAATAAATAATAAATCCTTGGGGCTGGTCTCCATTAAAGATGACATTTCTTTGTTGCCAACAGTATTATTTCACTGCCATGAATCTCTTCCATCACTGAGGAGCTGCTGCTGCTGCAGAACTGGTTTGAATTTAATTGTGGAATTTCAGATCTGAGGCAAGGCAGATTTTTATTTTCCTTCTTTTCTTTCCTAAAAAAAAAAAAAAAAAGAGCAGCAATAACAAAAAAGTGTGTCTCTCAAATGGCTATGTCCTTTGAAAGGAGAAAAAAAAGAGACTAGAATTTACTAATTGTTAGCGATAACTTGAAAGATGGGAACAATAAGAAATGCACCTGTTTGCCAGAATTATGTGAACTCAAAGAGATGTGTTGTGCCATAGAAACAGGTCAAATTTTCATTTTTTCCCCCCAAATGCCTAGATCTTTGAATCAGAATCTCACTGTTTTACAGGACATAGAAAGAATGAATTATACAACAAAGATGGACATATGGTTTTAAGGCATAATACTGATGCAGCATTAATTTTAGTGAAATGCAATTAAGTGCAGTAAAGTGCAATACTGTAAATATTATAGATTAAAAAAAATAGCCGTACTTATTCCGTTATTAACCAATTCTGCAAGATCCATAACTTAAATCCTTTATGCTCAGACTGGTGCATTGCAGCTCCTTGCCAAAATGTCAGTCCGAGTCTTCTAGGAATGATAAAGTTATATGTATCACATATGAGAAAAGGGAGACACTATGATTTCTAGTCAACTTAATGTGCCATATTTCTCAGAAGCAAGCTGAAAAATCTGCGTGACACTTTCACATGATTTTAGGTAAAAAAGCAAAATAGCAACAAACCCAAACAAGTTAAATCAACCCATAGAAGTGTTCTGTAGAAAAGGAAAAGTTAAATATTTGGCCATTTTAATTTTTGCCTGTGATTTGGACACCAGGTATTAAGCTAATGCTTAAGCAAAGAAACTACTACAAATCCAGCAAGGATGGAGAGCAGGGAAGTCCTTTAAATTATATTACCAAAGTTTCTGGGTTTACTGACCCTCCTCCCCAGTTTTACTTTTTTCTGTTATTCACTTCTAATTGGGTTTGGGTTTTTTTTTAAAAAAATTTGCTGGGGAGGAGAGAGGAAGGTACAAATAGTGGTCTTGTCTTCATCTAACAAGATAGTTATTTGTTGCCTTCACTACCAAGGTCTGTGTTGATGGAAGGTTATCCTCTGAATAGCACCATTATTAGGCCTGCTTTTTATGTCTCATTTAGCAATCCATTACTAGTTTTGGCTTTTGCTGATATTTATCAAATCCAAAATATTACTGTAGGACAAAAATTCATGCTTAGGATAATTTTTAGAGACTTTTCTTCTTTTTTGTGTTTTGGGTTTTTTTTTTTCTCCTTCAAATTTTGATATTTTCTAGCAAACAAAATTTCTGGAATGTCAAAATTGTGCCATTTCCCTTCTATTTATTATGTGAGAAGTAGTTAATGTCTTGGATTTGCTGGGGCTGATAAAAGTTGCCTGCCTTTTTTACCTCTCTGTGAAAGTCTAGGACCTTTTTAAAGCAAGGCCAAAATATGAAGGTAGAATATGAATACTTGTTGCTGAGAAATACAGACTGAATCTCAGGCAACTAACAACTTCTTATTGAAACAAAACATTGTCTGGAAAGTAAAATGTTATTCATGATGATGCATGAAATTCTGGCTAGAATGAGAAATATTTGGAGTGGTTCTAGCACTTCTAAAATGCAGATCTGAAAAATAATAAACATTAGTACAGAGATGGTTTAGACTAAAGTAAGTAAGTTGTACTGGACACCCACAGCCATGGGAGGAGAGTTAGATACACAGTGTTGGAGACCAAAGTCATAGAGCTATTGACTGAATGGGGACTGCTTGTTATCTGTAACTCTAATCTAATTGTTAGCCTTTCAAATCCTCTTCTGAGGATTTGAGAGAGACTTACATGTTAAATTTGCAGTCCTGCAAAACAATGCAGGACTTTCAGAAAGGAGTGATTTTTACCCTCAAATAATTCCATAGGGTGAACTTGTTGAAGTTGTAGGGTTGGGATGTGAATTTTCTCAGGCATCCAAGCGAGATGCTGAGAAGCGCTACCAATCTCAAAATGTTACAGGATACACATACAGTATGCATCCACATTGTATGGGAAGGAATAACTTTCTGCCTTTGTTGTTCTACTAGATACAAACACAGCAAAAAATGCCTGTACATTTCTCTCAGAAATTTTACTTCTTTATGGTATTCAAAACACAGCGGCAACATGAATACAATTCCCTGCTAAGATGAAACAAGGGTGGTAGTGTAGCATACATCTTTCCAGAATGAAATATTCTTACTTTTTTTCTGAGTGCTTTCAATGGATGTCTCAAGGACAGTCTTGCTCTCTACCACAGAAGGGAAGAAGGTGGAAAGATTTATCAATCTAGGATGCTTTGAAGGAGGTACCACAGCTCAGCCTGGGGAGAGGGGCAGGGTGCTGCTGGGAATCTACCAAGGTGATTCATGCTGCTCTTGCTTTTCATTTAGCATGAAAGGAAATGAAAAGCTGCACTGTGTAGGGGTTGTTGCCAAAACTGGGTCTGCTTTGCTTTCTTGAATGGGCCACTTGCATTGCTGGGGGTGTAAAAGCTTTGCCTTGTTTTGGATGATACGCACAGGTGACCTCCTCTTCTTGTCATCTTTACATCACTGGGAAGAAATGAGGCATCCTACCTGGCCTACCATGTACTGGACTGGACTTTTCTCTAAGTGTAAGTCACTGTGGCTCCATTCATCATGTGGAGCTCCAGTGATCCATACAAGTTGGGATTTGGACCAAAGCATCTACTCCATCTCTGTTAATGTGTGGTCTCTGTTTGTTTGTTTGTTTGTTTTGTTTTTGTTTTTTAATTGTTTTCTTAAGTAGGTTGGAGGTTGAAGATAACATAGTCATGGTCCTGAGGTGCTTATTAAAGTTTAAAAGTATCGTAATTGTTTGAGATTCTCAGGCATGCCAAACCTCATTTACTGTCCATCGTCATCCAGCCTGATCTTTGTGTAATCTTTGATTTGAGAAGTGGGATTTCCAAGATCATCAAAACAGCAGCCTCTGAGCAGAATTTCCTTAGGGAAGGCCTTCATTTAGCATATATGGATTGCTAAAGAATCTTTCTCAGAAGATTTGTATGGTATTTGAAAAATAACTTGAATGAATGCCAAATGAATAATGATGTTTATAAGCAAGACTGTGAAAAAGGCATCATGCCTTGAATGGGCCCCTTTATAATGGAAAGAATAGATTAAGAATAGATTCTGGTTTTTTTTAAATACTGTCAAATAAGTTAAAATGCTTCATTCATTTGTACCAAAATAGCCAGTTGACTCCATGGCTCATTTTTCTTGACTTGGAAATATGTGAAAAAATTATACTGAAAGTTTTTTTGCTTTGTAGGATCATATAGATGTAGTGACATTTTGGTTAATATCGTAATACTTAGCACTTATATAATGTTCATTTGCAAAGCACTGTATAAATGTCTTATTTAATCTTCACCCATTATGAACTAGGCAAGATTATTGTCCCCATTTTTGTAGACATTAAGGCATATAAATGAAGGGCCAGGTTCCATCCCCCATTGTCAGCAGTGAGTATGATTACTTTTGTTTTTGTAATGTAGCAGCATCCCCCAGATCATAATCTGACATGAGCTTTGTGGTGGTAGGCAACCTTTCACATAGCCAGGGCTCCTTGAAATTTAAACTCTGTATCCAACTTCAGCAAAAGTTGTAAAGGGCACTTTGAATGTGTTTTGGAGTGTCAGAATGTGTCTGTAAGTTATTTCCACAGAACATGGAAGTTACAGTCCAATTCTCTGACCCTGTCTGTCAGTGGGAATTTTGTTTATGACTCAATGGGGCCGAGTTGTGTCAGTGCTAAGACTAAAACCAAATTTCCAAGTTCCCAACAGCATGCACAAATTGCTAGGAAACTCTGATTTCCAACTTCCCCTACTATAAATTTTTCACACAGACCAAGTGTACAGATGTCAATTCTTTGCATGCTTTATCTGCTATGTCTTTTAGTCCTATGTTTGCCTATAAAATAATAATAAGACATGATTTTGAATTGACATAACATTGACACATTGGGACTGTTGACTCAAATCAAATAGACATGTAGTAGTACAGAAATCCAGGTCCCTAAGGCAAGCCCAGGTTATGGATTTTTTTTTTTTTGTGACAAAAAATACGCATGTTTTCTGCTTGTTTAAATGTGCTAGGCAAAGTAATTTTTTTTTAAAAAAACAGATAATTTTAGTTTTTGGAGGCATTATTGCATTGAAG